TGTTTCACCGCCCAACACTCTACGCCATACAGTAATGCAGGCCCAATTGCTGTCCTATAAAATTTACCCTTCAGTCTAGTCGGCATACCTCGGTCGCATAGAAATCTTGACGCGCTCTTCCACTTCATCCACCATGTTCTGATTCTATGGGATACATCTCCCTCTAACTCACCGTCCTTCTGAATTATGGAGCCCAAGTAACGGAACATATCGCTGACTGGTATCTCCTTACCATCCAGAGTAATTCCGCTATTACCACTACTTCTACCTCCACCAAACTTGCACTCCATGTAATCTGTCTTGCTCCGACTTAGTTTGAAACCCTTATTCTCCAATGTTTGTCGCCATACTTCCAACTTTGCTTTAAGACCTGATTGCGTCTCATCAATCAATACAATATCGTCGGCAAACATCATGCACCACGGTATATCATCTTGAATTGACTTCGTAAGTTCATCCATGACTATGGCAAATAAGAAAGGACTCAAGGCCGATCCTTGGTGCACTCTGATAGTAATAGGGAACTCTTCAGTCCTCCCTACACTAGTACGAACACTTGTAGTACAATCCTCATACATATCCATGATGATGCTGATATACTTGCGTGAAAAATCACAAAATGCCAAAAATTATTCTCACAAAGCATCAACATCCTTCAATCCCAAAATGTGGGGGACTGGAGGACTGCCCCCGGGAAAATCGCATGCAAACGCAAATCTCTCACAGGTTTACAAACTACAGCAAGGCAGCATCAGAGGACAAACGCAATTACTCCTTTTCCCTCAAGTACCTTTCGGCAAAAGGAGTGAGGGACTCCTGATGGAGTATATGGCCCAGGGACCCTCGGCCCACATACTTCCACTATTACAATCAGGCCCAACAGGCCCAAGCGGGCCAAGCCCAGCAAGATGGAGCTCTAAGCAGCCCACGACACACGAATGGGGGGCCTTCGGCCCCATGGCCGAAGGCTACCAGTGACTGAATCGGACTCAGAAAAATCACAGCAGAACAAGGCTCAAAAACCACGCCTTCGGCACAAGTGCCCTCGGTACCAGAAGGCCCTCGGTACATAGAGCCTTAGGCCTATCACCTACAGCCGAAGGCACCTTCCTCGACAGAATCTCCGCTCCACATTCGCTGGATCAACGTACCAAGTACAAACGTCGCATCCAACCACCGCATTTAATGCGGCCACATGCGAGTGCCGGTGCCGCCCCAGTTGAGGTGACCCCTCGACCACCAGATTGTTGACAGTGTCCCTATCTAGCATTTATTGCTACTATAAATAGCACCTCTTTCCTCCATTGTAAACCACACTGAATATCACAAGTTCACATATTGAATACATACTCTCTCTCTTACTTTTGCTCTGACTTCTCACTAAGTCATTCCCCACAGTAACCCCTCGGATAGATACCCCCCGGGTACACTATCTGTAACACCCCGGGGCCCCACACGGACCCGAGTAAGTTACTCTAGACCTCTATTAATCCTCTTACATTAATCTCGGGTATTACACTATCCATCACTGAGATTGGGGGTGTAACTTTATTATTAGTATCAGCATCAAACGCATTGCTCTTCTCAGTTTTTTCTGAAATAATGTTAATTAAATATTTACGAAATTAGGAACCAATTAAAAGTATTTATAGCAATACTGCTAACCCTAATTGTTATTAATGAAAGCCACTAATAGGAGTGGCGACTTACTAAGCCACTTCTCACTAGCTAGTTACGAACCACCGTATGGAGTTGTGACTTATTAAGATGCCACCTTTATTGGCAACTTATGAATCGCCATCCGAATTGGCGACTCTTGCTTTGACGTATTTCCTAAGCATTGCAGTTGCAATTGCACCTGCATACAACAACAAACATACATCGACAAACAAATTTCTGAGCATATGCTGATAGCATATAAAAAGTAACCGCCATACAAAATTAATCATTTTAATGATACACAACAATCTTTATTATCAAAGCAATAAGACATTAATGATACAACACACACCTCGTTTGCATTCATTTGTATGTGGACATACATAATTAAGCATAGTTGTACAGTGTTTCACAAGATTTAAAAAAGTAGTAACAATGTAAACATACATAAAAAAACCATGTTCATAAAAAAGTAATGGAGACAGGTTACAAGTCTTCATATTCATCATCATCAATGTCATGTAGATGTAGTTGTGGGTGTGGAGGTTTACGTTGCTGACGTACATGAAGAATGAATCTGTCACGGTTTACTAGTGAGATGATGTTGCTCTAGATGTTCTTGTTATGGTTGACGTAGAATACTGAGAAGAGCTCATATGTAAAAGATGGTCATAGTCAACCTGACCCAGTGCATCAGCACATTACGAAGCAATGTCTGGCAAAATCTTGTTGTGTGTCAACATCGTGTTGCACACAAACCACAACAAGCGCTCTCTTATGGAAACGTTGCAAAGCATGTGTCTGAAATGCAGAAAAAGTGTTAAATTTAGATCGGAAAATACTCCCTCCGCCGCTTAAAACCTTGTCATCTTTCCTTTTTTTATTATAAAAACTTTGTCGCTTTTCCTTTTAATCAATCAATTGGTGGTCCCTGTCATATCTCTCTTCTCCACACAAAAATTAACCACATAGATTTTATTTTATTACATCTCGTGTTAGTCAAACATGACGAAGTTGAGGGACAGAGGTAGTATAATCAATAAAGGATAAAAATATTTGAGCAGTTATCATCAATTTCGGAGCAATCGAAGTAAGTTAATAATGGTGTGTAGGCAGTCTAAATTTAATTTAATGCAGACTTCGCTCACTTCTCCCAAATAAAAATGTACCTTACATGCATTAGTAACCAATCCTTTGCAGACTTCCTTCTCATGTCGATCTTATAAAGGTCTACACATGTGTCCAAAGATATCACAATTACCTGCTAAAAGTCAAACTGACGCAATACACGATCTAGAAGTTGATGCTCAACGAAAAAGTCAAAGGAACACGTGTCGTTCATAGATCATGATTGTGGACATGTGGGGGACAACTCTAACAACATGACAGGTGTATAGGGTATCCACATAATCTATTACCCACTGACAAATAAATATTTTCTCACCAAACAAATAAATATTTATAAATAAGCTAAAGCGGCACTAGTGCAGCTAAATCATGCAGCTACATCAAAATTCTCAAGAATAGGCAAATAAAGGAGAGCTGAATGTCATTATCACTCTTGTCAGGAAGCACCCATGAGCTTCAAATAAATGCACACGCATGTTGCTGAATCATAACATCATATGCATCAGGAGTACAATGAAATGCCCCCACAACTATGATAATCTTAAAGACTAGCCACAAATGTCAATCCAAAGCAGGGGACGAACACCTAACAGTCGATGCACATCCTGAATCCATGGTCGACATGCACAACCAGTAACGACTTTCCTGTGAACATGTACTCACCAACGTGAGTATCACCTCACCAACAGGCAAGTGAAAAATGTGTCTTATGTCTCCAACGCTCAAGAAAAGCAATAACGATATATCTATCTAGAGGCATCGTCGAAACCAATATGTGAACAACATAAAATCCAGCTACTCTAACATAAGGTAACACTCCAACGCCCATCAGCAAATGGAAAATACTACATAGTTGCTCTTGACACATATCAACATGTACATTCAGGCCACACCACACATCCTCACTCCTATATCTGGCATGCAATATGGGGACATAAACATCAATCGATAATTGATCCACTAACACCTCTATGGTGCATATAATATCAATACATGTGTTATTTACGAAGAAAGCAAAGAAATAAATGTAAACAAACATTTACATATTTATATATTTAACAAATAAAGCCATTACCTAGCGGAGTCCTCACATTTCCACCAGCGGTCACATTGACCTATTATGGCCAGTTGCTTTACAGATCCACACCTTAAATATCTCTGGTAACTTCATTCATTTCATTCCTATTTTTCATGGACTTGGGTCTTCCTTATCACGAAGCATGGATGGGCCATGCACACTTTGTGGTCCAATGTAAGAAAGTAATACACAAGGTTGAGAATGGGGTTGAACACTTTTTTATTTTAAGCTGTGTATTTGGAGGATGAGATCAATGGATCAACAAAAGCATGATATGAAAAACTGTGTTTTCTACACAAAAAGTACATGTGAGAGAGGAATCTTATAAATTTCCACCTTTAACCACCGCAAGTAAACGAAAACAAATTTTTCCCACCCTTTCCCAATGTTCACCCACCACATCTTGTTTCCACTTGATATACAACACGACATATCGAAAATAGTGAAAATGTGATGTTTAGTCTTCTCCTTATTCTTCTTGATAAGATCTAGTTCCTCTATTCCTGAAAAAACTTCTCACTTTCCTTTTTAGGCATCTCAAAATAAATTTCCAGTTTTTCCTTTTGATAAAAATTTGTAGTTCACAACAATTCTTACACATTTCTATCTTCTGTGCACAACTCTCCACCACACAATACTCATTATCTTAATTACCGTGTCATTTGTACTATGGAAGAAAAATCGGGGATGAAGGGAAAACTATTTTATGGTAGTAGTCATCTAAAATTTCAAAAATGCAGCATAAAGTATAAGGTTTACAACAATAAGATTATCGAATATTGAAGTTTATAACTTAAAGCATTATTATTCATATAACACGACATAAGCACTACACGTACAAATTTTGCAAAATATAGTATATAAAAATTTACTATATTACAACACACTTAAAATGTACCAATCAATCCAAATTTATATCATTAATTTGCAAATTTAAACAAATTTACCTTTTCCCACCTTGTGCAATTCCAAACATTTTAAAGCAAAAAGTGTCCAAATGCGTTGAGTTCGGGCTTTGCTTAAAAGTGAAAGCAAAGCATAGCTTTCTCACAAAAAGCGATGCTTATAAAAATTAAAATAGAATAAAATATATAATGTATAATTAAGCCAAAAATGCATAAGTAGTCATAAAGTCATTAAGAATAATACTAGTGCACCATAGAGTGAGAAAACATTCACCACACAATTATGCAAAAACACATAACTAATCATAAATGTCATAAGAGTAATACTAATGCAGCATAAAGATAAAAACATCAATCACACAATGTCATAGTTTCATTAAAAACGATCATAAGAATCTTAATCACTCCATCATTTCATCCTCCTCATCGTCAAAGTGACCTTCTTCATCCATAACAAAGTATCAAAGTCCTCACTATCATCATAGACTCCAACATCTTCCTCATCTTCATCAACAAGTCTACGAGTGGAGGCCGTGGGGGCTGTTGAGGCTTTTTATTTTCCCTTGGACTTTGAACTTTCTGCTTTATCTTTCCCTTTAGAATTGTGTGTAAGAGAATATGGCGTATTATGTACACCAGAAAACTTCTCAACATCTCCCCAGGTCAAATTATCTCCATCATCAAAGACCATCCCTTCATTTACATCATCAATTGCACCGGCCAACCATTCATTTGCCATGTCTATGTATTCCAAGCAAATAAGATCTATAAAATTACGCATTTCTCAACAACATCTCAAAGCCCTATTGTACTTTAACGAATACTAAATCATTAAGGCGATTGTACTCTAGACGACTTCTCCTCTTATAATGCACTACCTCCGTCCCACTAACATTGGGACTGAAGGGGGTGGCACAGTTATTAACAAAAGTTGGTTGATGTGGTTGATATTGAATTGATAAAGTTAGAATAAAGTAAGAATGATTTAGAGCCACACAAACTTTGCCAAATTTGGTATGGAACAATTTTAGTGAGACGGACCGAAATGGTAAAATGGGACAATCTTAGCGGGACAGAGGGAGTAACTGTTAAGCAATTTAAAATTTGTGGTTAGTTAAGTGCATGAAAAATTTGAAATTGACATACACTTGCATGAGAATAACTATTCTTACAAGTTCAAATGCACTTCAATTCCTCAAATCCCAATGCACTTTTTGTCAAACTGAGAAACTTGATTGCAAATTCCTTTAAATGGAGAGCACTATCACCGAAAGATGACCACCAATCAAGTATAAAATAAATTAAAAATGTTAAAGCCACACTAAATTGTAATATTTTTTAAAACAATATAGATTGATCAATAGATACTAACCTGGGGGCTTAACGCTTCGTTGTTTCTTGCAAATGAAGTGCTAAATAGTCCGCGTCATAATTCCCAAATGGACACTCCTTAACATTTTTTCTTTGAAGTTCTTCATTTGGAATCAATCTCTCCAAACAATCATAAAAATCACTCACCACCTAAACTGAATTTATGGTAGGAGATACTTGTGACTCATCTGAAAATCGAAAGGAATCTAGATTGAAGAAGAAAGCAGCTGCATGTAATGGCTGACAGAGTTGAGAAGTCCATCTCATGTCTATGATGTCAAACACTTTCTTGTACTTGGATTGGTTGTTGTTGAAGGTTATGGCTACTTGTGTCAACTCCATTACAAGATAGACATCCCATAGCCGGCTTCACATCACCATCAACCATTCGAAACGTTGACATAAGTGGTCCAACAACCTTAAGAGCCTCTTGAAGTTTATTCCAAAAGGATGGCATATCGACAATTCTACTACACTCCTCATAGTTGAAAAGTTTGATCAACTTATTCTTGTGCTCTTTCAACCTTTTGAATGTCAAGAAACTTGTGTCAAATCTTATCTTAGCAAACTTCACCAAGCCTCTCTTCCCAGTGATTTTTCTATACAAGTTCAGCAATTTTGTAGATTGTCTGAAAATGATTAAGCTCAGATATGTCATTGAACATCAAATTGATTCAATAAGCAGCACACCATGTCCAATAAATCGTTAGGTACTTCTCCATTAAATCCTTGCATAAGCGATAAGAAAATGGAAAGAACAATTAAATTTAACTAAATTATACTCCCTCCGGTCCTAAATAAACTTCACACTTTCCTTTTTGGGTAGGTCCAAAATAAACTTCACACTTCTCCTCTCTTCCTTATTTGGCAAATTATCTACATCAAAACAGTGCAAAACAGTGCCAAACAGTGTCAAACAGTGTCGAACCGTGTACTCTACAGTAAAGTCAAATTTATTTCCTTAATTCGTGTGAAGTCAAAGTGTGAAGTTTATTTAGGACCGGAGGGAGTACATTAGAGATCATGAGTTCAAGTATGAAATAAACATACCAGCTTTGACATTTTCAGAAGCATTGTCAGATCTAATTTGAACAATTTTTTCTCCTCCAACTTTATTAACAAAGAGTGCAAAGAGCTCAAGTCCAGTTATTCATCATCATTAAACAAATGTATTGCCTGCAAATATCCTCATTTGGCTTAAATATCTCCTTTACATGTTCTATTTGCCGCCTCCGTGATACATCTTGTTAAGTTTGCAACTTTAACCAACATAAACCAGCTCTTACGTGGTACAACTTGCTTCCTCCACATCTACAAATATTAAGAATAAATTAATTTAAAGCATTATTGTTCTTACTCATAACAGCATATAAGCACTACGCGCATAAGTTTTGCAAAATATAGTACATAATGTTTGCTATATTCAACACACTTAAAATATACTCATGTCGCATTTTGATCGTCTTTCTTTCCTTTTTGGTTGTCCTAAAAGGGATTTCAACTTTCCCTTTTTGATAAAAAATTCGTGGTACATATCATTTCACTTCATTCTACTCAAATCTTAATCTTTGTTTTCCACATCTATCCTTGTTTTCCACCAATTTCCTCTGATCCAATCTTGACCGCAAATAGGAGCTTGTACCATCTTTTTACAAAACAATAAAAATCATGGATTGTTAACATTAAATTACCTTGAGAATCAATGAGCTCCTAAATTGATCTAGAGTACGCTCTTCCTGACTAAATGTAGACTATGATGCTACAATTGATAATTGATATCGAGATTGCTAATATATCACTAGCCATACGTGCTATTATCGAGAATCTAGGACTGTTTAATTTCCATCAAGTCAAAACATGTTTCTCTTCCTCTTTCTTCATCGAGATAACGATCAAATTCATTTCTTGAATAATGGTGTGATCCGCTCATTTGCTTCACTCGGTCTTTCACAAGATTCATCAAAATAGTAGAACCATCCGTTGAAGAAGTTGCTCTTGAGCTACTACTTACCCTGCTCTCATCAAACACAGTTGATGGAGCAAAAACTTTTCTATGCTCATCATACAAATCATAAGCACGTCACTTAATCTTTTCAAATAACGGTTCTACACCTTCACCATAAGTATCAACAAGAACAATCTTCACACTAATCAACTTGAAGTTTGGATCAAGAACGTTACCCATGTATATCAACTTGTTCACCATAATATTTGACATAATTTGAACAAGTTCATAATATTTGACATAATTTGACATAACTTGTTCATCATTAGCATTACGTTTTTTTCAAAAAATCAAGTGTATAACATATGTGGAAGAAAAGAGTGTTACTTGTGACATATAAAGATCCCAATACATTTTTAGTCAGCTCATAAAATTCCTTAAAAACAATAACAAAATATTCAAGCGTCACTCAATTCGCATCACTAATTGAATCCAAACTTTTCATATCTTCCAACTCCCAGGGAAGATCCACCCTCACAAAAACGTCTTTGTACTTCAAAACTGTATCCAACATATCATATGTCGAATTCTATCTAATAAGGCAATCAAGAACCAATGGCTTCACTGATCCAGGGGTAGCAGAAACTGAGGGAGAATCGAAAATTGCTAAGTATAGATTATGTAGAAAATTTGGCAGAGCAACAACAAGTGATGCTTATAGTGAAAAGTGAAACATTTGGCCAACAAGTAAAATCTGCTAGTCTAATACTACCTCTGTCCTCCTCTAATTGTCCCATTACGGTTTACGATGTTTGATTGATGATAAAGCAAATAAATCCCTGTACGCACTAAAATATTTTTTAGAAAAAAATTGCATATTCAGAAACTACATTAAAAGTTTTACAAAGTCGCAAAAACCAGAATCAAATTTGATAAAACTTTGATAAATAAAGTAAGCGATTAAGAGTGATTTGTGTTGACCAAGTGAATAGGAAATGGGAAACAACAGGGGGACGGAGGGAGTAGTTCAATGACACGTGTAAACCCTAATTGGTAACTGATTAATATTGTAGATAACAGAACTGGTTCCTTTTGTACACCTGCCACATGTGTTCATTTTGGAACCTTCTGTGCAAAACCGACTCGGTGACGTAAGCTTAGGACAGTTGTCGTATAAGTTATGGAATCATCGTTGCATGCGGAACTTAAGTACTGAAATGACTAAGTCCACAATCTTCCTCGAGCCCGTTAAAGAGGTTGAGCTCGGGTGCAATGTGCTTATTTGAAAGGAGAGTAACCTCAGTTAATGGAATGAGGCAGTAATGCTCTTGATGGTTCTACAATCTCACAAGGTGTTAGTTTCGCTCAAGCTTATAGTAATGGATCTTATGCGAACCTCCGTGAGGTTGACCTCAGATGCAATTTTGAACTTTTCTCGATGATCTGAGAACTAATTTCGGAATCGACCTCGGCCTAGGTCAGACTCGGCGGGAAATGACTTGGTGAATTCTAGAGATCCTTTATTCATGAATGTTGATACTCATGGGGTATATACTCCATCAACAACTCACTATCACTAATACCACCGAATTTCTTCACAATATTTTTCAGATAAAGACAAGCAACATCACTCAGATTATCAACTGTAACAATTTATCCCCCAGTCCCCAAACATTGAAACGGTCTTCAACCGCTGTACCAATATCATCCCCTTTATGACTAAAAATTGGATAAAATTCAAAATTCTTTTTTGCAATTTCCACTGATCATCAATGAAATGAGTAGTGAAACGCATATAATTAATCCTTTGAACAAGTGTCCCAGTCTCGGTAGTCACACTAACCCTCTAGCATGATTGTTTAAAAAATCTTTCAATCTTCCATATTCTTCAAGATAAAACTTATAACAATCTCGTGCACCAGTGGTTCATGAAAGTATATGGAAAAGGGGGCAAGCTATTTGCATGAAATACCTAAATTCAGGTTTCTTCACGAACTTAAATGACAACTCATCAACAATAAGCATATTCTATAACCCCTTCCTAACTTCCTTCAAGTTAATACCATCTTTATATTTCAAAACACTATTTTCTCCATCATTACACATCACATATTTATCAATTAAATAAGCTTGCGTCCATCCTTTTTGTCTATTCACCAGACTATTTTTGAAAGATGCAACATGATTTTTCACATTATTTTTGTCATTGCCGTTAGAGGCAAAAGTACGATCACAATAAATACATTCACCTCGCAACCTGTTTCGTTCATCTAAGTACTCCTCCTAAAAGTGATTTCAATAATCACCTCTCTTTCTTGTGTTTTTCTTAACATATTTGCGGTCTTCTTTGGGCTGTTTTTGCACATAAACGTCAACATTTTGAGAAGGTATTTCATCTCTAACCACTTTAGGTTAAAATGTTATTATATACTTGAAAGAGTCAAGTAAGAAGTATAAATGATGTACAAGCGGAATTTGATATCCATCGATAGTTGGAATTCGATATATGCAAAAGGGAAATTCAATCAACACAAAACTGGAACAAAATTGAAATTATAAAACACTTTCAAGTGGTTGGAGATGAAATGCCTTATCAAAATGTTGATGTTTATGTGCAAAAACAGTCCAACGAAGGCCGCAACTATATTAAGAGAAACACAAGAAAGAGGGGTGATTACTAGAATCACTTTTGGGAGTACTTATATGAAGAAAACAAGTTGCGAGTTGAATGCATACATTTTAATCGTGCTTTTGCATATGACTCTCATGTCAATGGCACAACTAATGTGAAGAATCACGCTGCATCTTACAAAAATAGGCCGGCAAATTGATGAAAGGGAGGTAAACAAACTCATTTAATTGATAAATATGTGATGTATAATGATGGAGAAAATAGTGTTTTGAAATATAAAGATGGTATTGACTTGGAGGAAGTTAGGAAGGGATTATACCACATGCTTATTATTGATGAGTTGTCACTTATGTTTGTGGAGAAACCTGGATTTAGGTATATCATGTCAATAGTTTGATCCCTATTTCATATACTTTACGAACCACTGTTGCACAAGATTGTTACAAATTTATATTGAAGTAAAGGGAAGATTGAAAGATTTTTTAAAACAATCATGCCAGAGGGTTTGTGTGACTACAGACACTTGAACAACTATTCAAAAGATTAATAATTATGTGTCTCACTGCTCATTTCATTGATGATCAACGGAGATTGTAAAAAAGAATTTTGAATTTTTGTCCAATTTCTAGTCATAAGAGGCATGTTATTAATAAGGCAGTTGAAGATTGTTTAAATGTCTGCGGACTAAGGGGATAAATTGTATGTGTGACAATTGATAATGCGAGTTGGAATGATGTTGCTTGTCTTTATATGAAAAATATGGTGAAGAAATTTTGGTAGTATTAATGACGGTGAGTTGTTGCATGTAAGGTGTATTGCACACATCATTAATCTTATAGTGTGGGATGACTTGAAAGAATATGCTAATTGTTGGGTGTGTTTCGAAAAACAAAAAAAATTAATTATTAAAGATTAATTAAATAAAATGACTTAAAGAAAAACAAGAAATGAGATGAAGCAGAATAAGCCAAAGCTCGTGCTACGCACGATTTCCTTAAAACGTATTCGTTGCCTCCCGGGGTGCTAGGAGCGTTGCAACGATCGTTTCCCAGGATACGATGACTTCGAACAATAGTTTAGCACTCAAACTAAAGTTCCAACGAACGTGAACAAAAGCAGAACACCGAAGGAGTTTGTATGGAGTGTTAGAGGTGCTGTTTTAGCTATGAAAATACGTGAACGAAGTGTATGAAAAGTTGTGTCTTTGCAAAGCACCTACTAGCCTTTTACAGGGGTGGATTAAGGTGTGTTAATGGCTGTTTAAGGGTTATGATCGTTGGACATCAATGTCCTAAACATTGGGCATTGATTCCAGTCCTTAAACAACCCAAAACGTTCATATGAACATTGGGACATCAATGGGAGCATATAGACGTTGGGCATTTATGTGCATGGAGCAAAAATTAAAGTAGGAACGTACCGGAAGAACAAAAATTAACGTTATCTTTAGAAGATAGATTTTCGGACGGCATTCGTGTGTGCAGGTCGCCCGCACACGCAAGTCGCAGTTTTTGTTCTTCGGTTTCGGGATTTGATTCGCACCCCCTCTGCGAGCGTGAGAGAGCCTTTCCCTTTAGGAATCTTGACTCCTTAGGGGGGGTTTCCCTTTATAAAGGGTTCAAATTCCCTTGTGATTTTCGGTGTGGGAAAGAACCCACACTAAAACCCACATTTTCCTAGTTTTCTCCATTCCAATGGGTAAACTTCGAAAAACAATTTCTCATTCACCCGTTA